AACCATAACCTCCTTCACCTAATTTATCTTTGAAACCTCTAGTCATTTTCTTTATTTCAGAATAGGAGTACTTAATAGGCATGAAATTGTTTTGCTTTTGAAGGAACTCTTCAATTGTATCATCTGCAGACAAATGTCTCCTACGAAACTTGTACACAATAATTGCAATCAAGATGGATAGCCCCAGCAATGTTCTTGCCAAAATAAGCCCACCTTATCACAAAAAATTAAGAATAGGATCACGCCACATAGTTATATATCATTATTACCCACAAAATAGTTCTTTTTTTTTTTTTAATGTGGAATTGAGACTGACCTGTTACTCCCACAACTATGCGATTGGAAACTATTAGAATAACAAAGATGACAAAGACATGTAAGCACATAAACATACGGTACTAAGGAATGAGTATTAATTCCCAGTAAAGATTGAATTAGAAAATCATACCTTCAAAGTAATCATCATGGTAAAAAATGTCACTGTCACCTTCGATTATAGAATGTGCAAAGTCGGTGAGCCCAATTCACACAGCGAATATCACACGAGGCACAGCCTCTAGCGCACGATTCACAACGAACAAACTGAAATATACATTCAGCACAAGATAAGCATGAAGAGATATATATATATATATATATCTCAATATATGGCAAGGCGATGGAAAAATGAATGAAGAGGATTTGAAGAACGTCAAACCGATTTAAGGTTTTGGTAAAGATGTTCAGATCATTATATGAAGTCGAAGAGCATCAAAAACAAGGTTTGCTCCATAGGAATAATCCTAGTATTCGCCCTTCAATTAAGCTGTTAATCTTCTAAACAAGTTGTGAATCTCATACCAAACCAGCTGATCCGGCCAGTACATGCCGGATTTGTCATGAAACCGGGATACTATAGAGCATTATACTGTACCAGTTAATTTCTCAACGGTACTGGTCGAAAAGTTGCAAACCAGCCGAAATAACGTGTGCCGGGCAGTACGCTAATTTCGGCCGGTGCAAAATTGGAAACCAATTTCAAAAAAAAAAAAAAAAAAAAAAAAAAAGGTGAAAAAGGGGAAGGAGGCTGTGAGGCTGTGACTGTGAAGGTGATGCTAAATAATTAGGGGTAA